CGGGCCTGCGACCCGCGAGGCCAGCTGGAGGGGCTCACGGGGTCCCACCACGGCCGGGCGCCGGAGTCCGCAGCCGCCGGGGATACAATGGGCCTGGAGCCGAGTGCGACCGGCGGGTGGGGACGCGAGCTTGCGGGGAGCTGCGCACCGGAGCTGGGAGGAGGGGGCTGTTTCTACATCAAGGCCGGTCCCGCTACTCGGGAGGAGGGAAAGGGGGAGGTGAGGAGAAAGCGGCAGCGCGGCGGCGGCGCCTTTAATCAGCAGCCGCGGGCTCAGCCCACCCGGCACTAGCGAAATAAACGGGCGGGGGCAGGAGGGGAAGGGGCGAGGCGTCCTTTCCGGAAGTGCCGTTGCCGCGGTCGACGCGCCGGGCTCCTCCCCTTTTCCCTGTCTGGAGTTGGGGCATTTCGGGAGTCCCTTAGATGAGGCTCCGCCTTTTTAAGGCGGGACGAGCCCGCGAGGCTCACGTGACCTGCGCTAACTTTGGTATATTAACAAGGAGGGGGAGGGGTGTCCCTGCCTCTTAAAAGGGCGATGATCATTGCTGCGTAGTGGGACCAAGACTGGCCAAGTTTTTTGTGGTTTTTTTTAAACCCTAAGCGCTTTTTCCAGAGAGTGGAGGTGTGTCAGTCTGCTTATCTATCGAATGGATCCGAGTCAGAAACTCCATAGGTGCACGGTGAGACAATTTCTGGATAGCCTTAATCTTTTCTCCCCCACGTCAGTGCTGTTAAGCAAGATTGACATTATGTATCCCGCTTCTATTGATGAGGAAATCGGGGCTTAAAGAACAGGAAGTAATCTGCCTCAGGTTAATGGGTCAACAAATATTTAATACAAGTCATTATGTGCTAGGCATTTTACTGAAAAAACAAAAGAAAACCCTCCAACTCAGAGCCATCCTGACTCTAGCCCCTGGGAATTCAGCTGATGTAAGTACAGCACACAGAAAACAAAATGAAAAGGATGGTTTCTGTGATGGAGAGTAAGGGAGTCAGAGAAGGGCTTTTAAAAGAAGAGGGATCTGAGCAGAGACCTGAGTTCAGGCGGAGCCCCGTGAAACAACGCCAGGCAGAGGGTTCCCACTCAGCTCCCCTGGAGTGAAAACTCTGGGGCGAGCTGAGGGTGCTCCCTCAGAAGGAAAATAAATGCAAAAGCAATCGATTGCAGAGCTTATGTTCCAGAGCGGCCAAGAGAAGGCCCAGTGGGGAGGTCACTCCCTGCCCTCAAATCCATTCAGACTCTCGGGACTCCAGGACAGAGTAGAATTGCCCCTGTGGGTACCCAAGCCTGTAAATGTTTATGAGAACAGAAAATTTCATCTTTCTCGCTCGGGGTGGCTGGTGGGTTCGAATTGCTGACCAGGGCTCCTTGAGAGGCAGACAGGTAGAGGGTGGTAAAAATAAGGGGGACTGGAAATTGGCTGTCAGATTTGGTGTACACACATTTGGATTTACGGTTGGATTCAGTGGGGAGTAGAGAGGAATCAGCACATGAGTAATAGTGGGATTGGATATGGCAGACCGCTTGGAACTTTAAAGGAGCCCTGGTGGCGGGCGTAGTGTGTTACGAGTTGCACTGGAAACCACAAGGACAGCAGTTCGAAACCACATGTTGCTCTTTCTTCGGGAGACAGATGAGGCTTTATACTCCTTGACAGTTCTCGTCTGTCTCGAGGAGGATTGTGAGTCAGAATTGACTCAAAGGCATAAGTCTGAACTGTAACAGAGTTTTGTATGTTACAAAACACCCCACCTCCAATCTTTTAAAATGATTCCTCAGGTTTGGGCTTCAGCAAATAGAGAGCTGGTTTGCTGAGAAAGGCAGCCTTGGAGAGGAGCTTGCATTGGGGTGATTCAAAGACACCCTCGTGGAGATGCCGAGCAAGGAAAAGTGGAATGAAAGATAATAGATTTTTCCCCATCAACGCTTGATACCCCTTGTATGAGGCTAACGTGCAGAGGGAAGGTGGACTGGAGATACGGGTGTGGGAGTCATCGTGGATTACATCTGACATGATAAAGTGGAGACTCAAATCCAATCCAGGTTAGCCCCCAGGTGCCTGATCCTCCCATTGCACCAGGGGCCTCTTCCCAAGACCTCCGTTTCCCTCTTTGCTGCGACTATTTTCCCCCTAGAGCCCCCATAGCCCACTTTTTCCTGTCATTGAGCTGCTTTATACAAACTTCACCTTCCCTGATCTCTTTCAGAATGAGCCCCTTGCCCCCACCCCTAACAGCCCTCCCTGTCTCCTCTCCTCTGCTTTGCTTCTCCATAGCACCCATCTTCCTACTCGGGGTTCAAATCCACCCAGAGGCATTTGGGAAGACAGAGGCATCTGACAATCATCAGTTTCTGAAAGGTCAGAGCCAGGAAACCTCTCTAAAGCTGCTCTCTTCTGTACAGCTGGGGTCATCCAGAGTTGGAATCAACTCGACAGTAATTAACAACAGCAGCCAGAATGTTCTATCGCGTCTCCCCTGGTCCTGGGCCAAGTCTCTCCACCATGCCTCTCCTTAGGTGCCATCGAGTTGGTTCCAACCCATAAAGGACCCTGTGCACCATGGCAGAGCAAAACACTGTCCGGTGCTGGGTCCTCCTCACCGCTGTCCTACTGCTGAGACCTCCCCTCTTACGCTCTTTCGAAGCGTCTTCACCAAGCAGGAGGGGCGTGGGCCCAGATCTGGGACAGCTTGAGGCCCTCAAACCATCCGGTGGAAATCTACAGCTCCTAAAAAGAATCTTGGGGGTTTTGCCAGTGTCTTCACTGACTGGAAAGCTTCCCAGAGTAAAACCCCTTCTTCTTTTGCCCAGCTTGTTCTTCAGTGCCTTTAGACATCACTTCCTTCAGGATGCCTTGTGTGGTGAGCCCCTCTTCTTGGGAGGTACCCTAACAAGGAGGCACCTTTCATAGAGATCAATGCTAATCCAGTATTACTAGGTGCCAGGCATCTCATGTGCATCATTTCATATCATCTTCACAAGAAAGCGAGGAGGCAAGTATCCGCTCACAGATTAGGAAATGGAGGCACAGGAGGTCCGCTAACCGTCTGTGAAGTCCCACTGACAGTAAGTCCTCAAGCTGGGGTGGGAAGGAGCACCTTCCTCTTTCATGGCTCTTCCTGGTCATTGTGTCCTTATCCGTTTCCCCCCACCGGACGCTGGGCTCTGTGGGCCTGACCCTGTGTCTAGGCCCCCAGTATACAGCAGAGGCCTGGCACACACATTTGTTGAGAGAGCAAGAGAATGAGGGATTGGCTCTTCGCCATCCATGCAGTGCTGGGGAGGCTCTAAGCATGCAATTTGCCTTCCTCTGTCTTGTAACCCAGGCCCCCCATTTCTCCAGCTTTCAGGGTACTGAGTGGTGTGCAGGTAGCGGTGGGTGAGATTGGCAAAACAAAGGAGCAGAGTTTCCATCTCGGTCCTCAGTTCTGGGCTAGAGGAGGACATGTCTCTCATCAGAATACCTTTGAAGACGCCGTCAGAGAAGCAGCATGGGAACTGTGCTCAGCCAGAGCGGAGACCATGGCGTCCACACCAACTGCTCCTTCCCATCCTGCCCTGAGTGCTTTCCCAAGGACTTCCTGGCAGAGGAGGGGAAGGGGTCAGCCCCACTATGATCCTTAGGAAGGGGCCCAGAGGTGGCTGCCCCTCCTAGACCACATCCTGGCATGTCCCTGGGTCAGTTCTGTCCCTTATCCTGCCCCAAGCCCCCTCCTTAACCATCCAGCTCCTCCCCCTCTGCAGCTGCCAGCTGCTACCTCAGTGCCTGACAGGCAGGACTGAGTCACTTCCAGCTCACATTCGCCTTCTGGTCAGGCCAGTTGGGCAAAGCTCCCAGGCTTCTCCACCCCATAGCCCTGGGACTTGTAGGGGCCCTCCACTTCCCAAGGCTTCTGGGTCCCCCCAGAACCACCTCTTTCCTCTCTGAGTCCCCAACCAGAGGAGCTGCTGCTCTGTACTCTCTGGGGCCAGAGCTTCACCCTGACTGTGAGTCCCTCTTGACTAGAGTTAGATGAAAATGACAGAAACCCCTTCCGCCCCATCTTTGGTGAAAATGAGGAAGGAACATGGTCTTGGCTCCCCTGGGGTGGGTCAGCTGGGATCCAGACCTTCCAGGGGCCGTTGCTTTGACCACCAGAGAGGGACCCCAGACAGACCTGTCCAATGCTCCAGAGGCGAGCTACTTGCCAATAAGAGTCCAGTAGGTCACAGCGGAAAGAGGGATGAAGGCCCCCATATATGGCGGGTCTGAGTCTCAGAGTCTACAGAGGAAAGAGGGAAGCAGACACCCACTGATCCCCTCCCATGACGCCCAGAACCTTTGCAACTAGCCCCAGCAGAACCCCTCCTATGCATGCCTCTTGCCAGGACAGCGAATGGCCAGGCCTAGCAGGAAGGGGAAGAAATGTGTGAGGGCCAAGTGCAGCGCACAAGTTTGGGGAACCCCATCCTGCTTAACTTATTCCCCTCACCAGACACTGGCCCGTTTCACCCACTCAGGTCCTGGAGAGCTGAGAAGGGTTTGTGAGGAGGAGGAGGAGGGGGAGGAGGGGTGGATGACGGAGCAGAGGCTGCATCTGTTCTCCCTCCCTCCACGGCCATCTCCCTCAGAATCTTCCTGCTCTTTCCCCTCTTGACCTTGGAACAGTGGTTCTCAACCTTCCTCATGCCTCGACCCTTGAATACAGTTCATGCTGTGGTGACCCCCCCAACCATAAAATTATTTTCGTTGCTACTTCATAGCTGTCATTTTGCTACTGTTATGAATCTGGAGACCCCTGTGACAGGGTCATTCAGCCCCTACCCCCCCCCCCCAAGGGGTTGCAACCCACAGGTTGAGAACCAAAGCATTACCAGCTGCTGGATCCTGTAGCTTGGTACCCCCTTCACTGCCAACATCAGGCTTGGGGCCCTCCCCACTCCTAAGTGGATGAGTCCACCCACTGACCCCTCTGCCCCCATTTCCCGCCCTCCAACTCCAGGCAGCCGGCAAAGAGCACAGGACACAGCCACTTCTGCAAATATGTTTAATGCACTTAGATTACATGGAAGAGGAGGAGACGGGGAGGAGAGGACATCTGAGTCATCCAAAAATCCTTACAAAAGTCCCAGGCCAACTGCAGCCCCCGGGAAGCGCATCGCCACTGACATTAAAAACGAATAGAAAATTCTACAAAAGGCTGCTGGTTGCAGCTTTCAGGTACTTGTACAAAAGGGGTTTTTCTACAGGGCGCCTGACGCAACCTGAGGCCAGGTGACTCACTTGGCCGGGAGGGCCTGGCAGTCGGAGAGGACAGACAACCAGATACAAAAATAGGGTCTAGGGAGTTGGCTGCAGCTCTGCCCCATAGGGGCAGCAGCCTTCAGGGGCCCCCTCTGCTCCACACGCAGTCTCAAGACCTGGGTCTAACTTTAGAAATGCTCTAGCCTTTGTAGACTCTGTTCAAGGCATCCCCAGTCCCCACCTTGGGGCTCTTCGTTTGGAAGGGGAGGGGAGTAGGGAGAGGCACCAGCTCCCCAGACAGACCTGAGACCTTGCATGGGGCCTCCCCCATACTCTTGAGTCGGCAGCTGGCTCTGCCAGCTTCTTTCCACCCACACTGGACCTGGGGGTGAGGGGCACCACGAGTCCCCCTTACATAACAGGTGAACACGGCAGTGGCGCCTCTTTAGAGAGGCTCCAGCACCAGCACCGCACCTGGAGGGGCAAGTCCTGGGGTGCCTGAGAAGAGCCAAAAGGAGATGGGAAGCACCCTACCTCTCCACCCCACAATGAGGGAGGAACTCCCAGAAACCTGCAGCATGTGAACCCCCTGCACAAGCTTGGGGCATTGAGCCCGGTGGCACATGCTAGCCCTTGCCCGAGCGATAATCAGGGAGGGTCTGCTCCCCAACTATGGATCCTGAGACCTCTGGGAAGGAACCACCACCCAAAGGAAAGGAGACCAGGTGGGAGATGGACAGGCGGCCGCTGTTCCCGTCCCTCACCAGTGCTCCGTAGGAAGGTGGTGGAGGCCTGGTCCCAGCTGGACCCTGGCTGGAGGTGAGGCTGACCATCGATCCACACAGGCTCGAATCAGCTGCCTTTCACCCATGACCCAGCTGAGCTCAGAAAATGCCCTCTTCCCCTGAGAACCAGGCAGCTCATCCTGCTGCAGGAAGTCGTTGGCAGGTCCCTGGGAGAAGACTCAAGGAGAGGTAGGTCAGGATGGCAAGGAAAGGAGGCAAACTAAAGGCATCTCCCCGTCCACAAAATGTAACCATACAAGAACTTCAGAGGCAGGGCTGGGTGGTGGGTGGGTGATGGCCAGGAAGTGACCTTTTGGAAAAGTTCTCGGGGCAGTAGAAGGCACAGCTGCTGCCCGCATTGCATCAGGCCAAGGTAAGCTCCTCTCCCCTGTACCTCTCCAGCGGGATCCGCCTGGGAGAGGCTAGCCCAAGCTCCAGTCCCTCCTGCCCCCGGAGAGCCCAGGCAAGGCCCTCCTGATCTATCACCAGCAGGCCCTGTGGCCTTGTACTGCCTGTATGTGCGGTGGGAGAGGCCAGGGCAGTGAAGGCCCCCTGTAGGGTCCCTGGCAGATAAGATGGCTGTTTGCAGGAAGGTGGGAGTGTCTTAAAGTTGCAGTCTCAGGGGGTCTGGGAGCAAGAAAGGGTCTTGCTGACCCTGGGCCCGGGGTGGGAGGCAATCCCAGAAGAGCCCCACTCCCAAACCAAGGGCTTTGGAAGCTCCAGCGATCTGCAGTCTTTGGGGTGAGGGACACAGAGGAGGAGTCAGGCCAAGGAATGGGAAGGAAAGATGAGAACGAAAAGGATGCAGGGTGCGTGGGAGGGGACAGTGCGGTGCTTGCAAGCCAAAGGGAGGGACCCACTGCTGTGCTGCTTTAGGAGTCAGTCAGAGGTTGGCAGGCCCAGGAGCCTGAGAAATGGGATGGAGGTGACCACAGAGCTGAGACCCAGGCCCTGAGCGGCAAGAGGCGATAGTCTGTAAGGGGCAGGGCCTCACTCTCTCCCAGGGGGGCCTGGTTGGGTGACAAAGCCAGAAAAGGAGGCTGAGACGCAGATGGTCCTCGGGAGAGGCCCCAGTTCACGGGAGAAGTAGACCCCCGTCCTGGCCCCAGCTCACCGGGCTCAAGGCTACCAGGGGGAGTGTGTTTCAGGACTCCGCCCACCCACTACCCTCCCCAGCTCACTCTGCAAGGCGGGCTCTTGCAGGGCAGGGGCTGCCGGGCATACACCAGGCACCTTTTCCTGTGGCGGTGGCCTCTGTTGTCGGAAAGGTTAAATTCACCTGGGAATAAAGTTCTGTTTTATAAAAAAAACAAAAAAACAGTATATACAAAGCTTCCGGACATCTCTGCAGAGCAATAAGACATCATCCAGTTTCAGAAAAATAAAATAAGGATGAAGAAAACCAAGCACACTGGGAGGCACTGTTCTGTGGCCAGCAGAGCCACACTCCCATGGCTCTCTGGAGCTGAGCGAGGCCGAGCCATAGCTGTGCCTGGCCCGTGGACCTCTTCCTCCTGGCACGGGCAGGTGAGGGGGTCACCTGTCCCAACCCAGGGGGCACATCAAGGGTGCAGTTTCAAATCACAAACCAGATCCTGGTGCCGCAGCAAGACCCGCTCACTGGCCAGCAGGGCCGTGGCTCGGCTGGCTGGGTGGGGGAAGCCCCCGAGCAGGAGGTGGGCAGGGCCCACGGCCTGGCCCAGCACCCCGCTGGACTGCACACTCATCCTCAGACGTCTCCTTTTATTTGCGGGACTCTCAGTTCTGCTGCTGTTGCACTGAAGTCACTGGGGAGCGGCTGGGCCCCCCGAGGCCCCATAGGGCCCAGCCCCAGCTAGTGCAGTGGGCTGTCAAACACCACGTCGGGCAGGATGGAGACCTTCAGCTTCTTCTCAGGCCAGCTGTACTCTTTGGGAAGTTTGAACTGCGGAAGGGGAGACACAGTTAGCAGATAGTTGCAAGACGATACCAGGCACACCTCCGCCTCCTCGGGCAAGGCCCCTTGCCCAGACCCAGGCCTTCCTCATCCCAGGTGTGCTGGGGGCAAAACAAGCCCCGGGGTTGCTGGGCATCGGTAATTCCCAACACTCGGCCCAGCTGGGCAGCCGGGGCTAAGCTGCTGTAGTTTGCTGACCCCAGCGGCCCCTCACCCTGACAATCATTAACCAGGGCTGGAGGAGGCCTGTTTTCTAACTCTTTCTTGACTCTGCTGACCTCCTCTCCTGCTCACTTCCTTGGTTCTGCCTCCGGCCACAAGCATGTAAGGAATCTGCTCCCAGAGGCCCCTGGCGCTGGAGGATGGAGGCGAGGGGGAGGCTGCTTGTGCTACAGGGAAGTGGCTTGAGGTCTGGGACCCTGTGGTGCTGCCCGGGCCATGGCCTCTCTTTCTGAGGCTGCTGTGGGAAGGATCCTGGAACTTGTGGCCTGTGCCAAAGGGTCCAAAGGGAAGGGGGTCCTGGCTTAGCCCCAGAGTCAGTCCCACAATGTGGGCTCTGAGGGGTGGGGATGAGGAGGAGAGCGACTTCTAGCCTGCTCCCTTGGACTCCTCCTCAGTCAAGGCCACCGGCTGGAGGGGTCTTCCTGCCCCACCCCAGGAATCATCAGTTTGCCTATAGTAGTGGTGCTCAACCTTCTTAATGCCTCGACCCTTTAATACAGTTCCTCATGTGGTGACCCCCAACCATGAAAGTACTTTCGTTGCTACTTCATAACTGTAATTTTGCTACTGTTATGAATCGCCATGCAAATATCTGATATGCAGGATGTACTTTCATTATTACAAACTGAACATAATTAAAGCATACTAATTAATTACAAAATAATATGTAATTATATATTGTGAAATATTTATGTGGTCTTAGGCGACCCCTGTGAAAGGGTCGTTCGACCCCCAAGGGGGTTGCAACCTCCAGGTTGAAAACCGCTGGCCTATAGTGTGGGTTCTCTCACTGGCCCAGGAACTGCTGGCGGAAAGGTGGGGTGAGGCTGCCCTACTGGGCTCCCCTGCACGTGGCCTGGCACCCAGCTGGTGCTTGTAGGTGCCCCTGGGCTGGGACAGCTGCTGGAGTGCAGACACAGGGTTTGCCTTTTGTGTCTCTCCCACTGTCCCAGGGATGAGCAAGGAGTCATGTCCAGGCTGAAGGGGAGGGCAGACCAGTGACAGCTGGGCTGGAAGTGGGCAGGCCTGGCACTTCCTGCTGGCTCCCTCCCTCTGACCAGGACTGGTCATGCCAGAACCCAAGTGGAGAGTGAGGCAGGGTGTGGGGGGACAGCTTCTGGACAGGGGATAGAGGAAGAAGTAATTTTCAGTGACCTACTTTCTTGAGCTCCCCCTGGCTCTCCTGCTGGGACTGCCCCCCCTCCTGTCCCCTTGACACCCAAGCTCAAAGCAGTGGTCTGGCACAGCGCCATCCCAGGGTGACAGGCCTCTCCGGAAGCACTTCTGGGCAGCTGGCTCTGGCCGGGATACATGGGGAGCTGGGCCTCAAGTGCGGAGCCTGGTGGGGGGCTGAGGAGCTGGCACCAGGGCTGCCACAGGCTGGGTGCTCGGTGCCTGCTTGGTGAATGCATGGATGAATGACTTTATCAAGTGGCATCCCACAGGACAGAGGGGACACTAGCCTCTCAGGGCTGGCCTCAGGCTCTGGGGAGTTCCTGTTCCCTGGGAGATCAGCCCCACCCCACCCCGCCCTGCCTTACCCACCCTGAGCCCCTCTCAGCCTCTTCACTGGCAGAGGCCTGTGGGTGCCAGCACCAGTCCTGCTGGGCCCAGGGAGGTGAAGGAATTCCCCCCCACCACCACCACCCCCAAGCAGCTCCAGACAGAAAGGGCAAAGGCAGGGTCTGTCTCAGCCTCAAGGTGGGGAGCCATGGGACCACTCTAGCGTGGGGGATAGCTTGCGAGGCTCCACTAATCCACCAGGGCTTGGAGGCGACAGAGGTGCAGATCCCACTGGGGCACTGGTGAGCAGCAGGCTGGGGGAGGGAAAGGGACTTTCCAGAATGAGGTAAGTCCCTGCAAATGAGGATGCTGGGAACAAGGAAGCAAAACAAAGGGGTTTATGGACTCTGTTCATGTGCCCCAGAGGGGTGGCTGGCCATGGGGGGGTTCTGGGGGGGGCTTAAGCCCCACCTGGCCTGCCAGTGCCGCTGGCTGTGATCTCAGGCTGGGAAGAGCCTAGGAAGGGAAGGAGGGTAACTAATTCCTGGGTGGCCCTGGGCGAGAGAGGAGTCCCTTGCTGCCCACCAGAACTGCCCAGTGGAATGTTCTCTGGCAGCAGACATGGGCTTTCTGTTCAGAACTTGCCAGAGAACACAGTGACGAGGGGGTGGAACTCTCGCTAGCCTGAAGGTCCTGGCTGCCTCTGCAGTGAGGTTCTCAGAGGCTGGCAATTCCACTTGCTGAGTGTCCTTACAGGGGCTGGGGCCAGGGCAGGGAGCTGTGGGGTGATCCGGCATCTCGGGGGTGGGGGTGGGGGTGTCTCCTCCCCAACCGGTCCTCTGGGGGGACCTCAGAGAGGCACCGGAAGCTGCAGCCACCCCACCCCACCCCCACACACACCCCCACTCACGCATGCACACGCACGCACAGACGTGCACAGGCTCCTGGAGACTGGAGCCCGCTGTCAGAATCAAACAGGCTTACTTCCTCTGGAGAAGTCAAATCTTCTAAGTCCTCCAGCATTTTCTCTACAAACTCTTCAGTCAACAGAATCTGGGAAGGAGGCACAAGGCAGGCTTTTATTTTATTTTATTTTTTTAAAGATGTGGTTCTCTGTATGCCAAGCTAGGGCGCTTTCTTCTGGCCTCGGAGGGGGTCTGAGTCCCTGGTGGAGATCCTTGGTGACCGTTCCAAGGGCAGGCACAAAGGTTGGCTTCCTCCCCCACCCCCGGGACTCCCCCCTCAATATCAGAGGCCTGGGGCAGGAGGCGAGACCTGGAGGGGGGTGTGTGGCCCAGGCCCTAGAACGGAGCCAGAAATGAAGAAGCCTAAAGGGAAACCCTGGAAGTCTCCTGGCTGGCAGGCCCGCTGCTTGCTGTGGCAAGGTGGAGGGGAGCAGAAAAGCTGGGGGTGGAGGTGGGGCAGAGAACAGCTGCCGCCAACTCCCTCCTGGCCCAAAGGGCTCCCAGGTCCGCCCCAACCACTTGGTAGGACAAAAGGAATCTGTTTGGATTTGGGATCCCAGCCCCATCTGGAATCTGGAAATGGCCCCAAAAGTACATCCACAAATGTGCAGGTCGGTGACGTGGGAGGCTGGGGACCCACTGCCCTCAGTTAACAGATGGGAAAGGGACCCTCCACTCCCACTCCCAATCCACCCGCCTTCATATCCTCGCTAGCCCCACTCGGTATGGCGGCTGAGTTCCTCCTGGGTGCCCCTCTTCACTCCTCACCCCCAGCTGGCTCTGCCACTTGGTTGGTTCTGGTCTGAGGGTGGTCTTGAGCCCACTATTCAGGGGGTGCTGCCAGTCGGCCCCCTCGGTCCCTGAAGAGGCTTTCACAGCCAATGGGAAGGTGCAACCGCTCTCTCTAGAGTCTACACTCTCAGGGTCCTTTCTCGCCAGGGTCTGCTCCGGCCAGACTGCCCTGGCTTCCTCTAGCGGGCCCTGGAACACCCTGTGTGGGTGCAGAGAACACGGACAAAGGGGAGGGCTCCTGGGAGGGAAACCCTCCCTGTGAGAAGGATGGAAATCTAGAACGTAAGAGAAAATACCCAGTAGATTTCCCCTGGAAGGTGTCCACTCTGATAAGCTCCCCTGGAAACCAGAGAAGAGTTGGCATTCCAAACAGGGTTGGCTCGTGGGACACAGAGACTTGGCAGAAAAGGGAGAGCGGACAAGCAGGGTCACTGGGGACCTCGGGGATGGAAGGCTTCAGAGAAAGGGGGATGGATGGGCTGGGGGAAGGGAGGGAGCGGACCACCACCACCACACTCGCACTAGCATCTTCTCTCAGTCAGCCCTCCTGATAGAAGAGGGCCAAGGCCCAGAGAGGTTAGGGAACTGGCCGAATATCACGAGACAAGACCACATTGCCGTCGTGCGTGGGCACCAAACCCAAGAACTGCTTTCAAATCCTGGACTCTGAGCCCCAAGATATTTACTCACTGTTGCATTTTCCCACTCACGTGCCCCTCGATCCATTAGTCTCAGAAGCATTGCCCGGACACCTCTGCTAGGCCTGGCCCTGGGTGGAGCTCTGGGAATGCAGGCACGGAGGTAGCCTCTCCTCCATCCTTCTCTGCCCCCATCCCCACCCCTGCCCCAGCATGTACACTTGCCACCGCTGCCCACTCCCCCAGCAAAAGTCCAGCGTTTCCAGTGATCACCGGTCTGTGTGTGCGGCATAAAAGTCACATTCATATTGTTGGCATTTCTGGGGCTTCCTGCCATTTCTGCAAATGCTAGCACAAACACAAGCATACCTCAAACCCAGTGGTGTTACAATGGCTCCAGTGGGGCCGGCGGGGTAGACTTGAGCCCACACAGACTTTTCAGGGTGGGGCTTTCTGCTAGAGGTAAACAGGTCTGTCACTGTGATGGCTGGGGGCGAGGCGGGCGGGAGGGGGAAAGAGGCAGGCAGGGGGGGAGAGGCTAGAGGGACTACAGGCCACCCGGGCCACCCAAGGAGCTTCTCTGAGGAGCATCCGCCATCCACCCCTGACGAGGGTCTGGTCCTGGTGCTGGGGGAGCGGGCAGCAGTGCATCCAGCAGGCTCAGGACCTTCTGTGGGGGGCTACCTTTGCAACCAATTAGCGCAAGGGTGGCAAGAACTGACACCCCCCAAAAAAAAAACAACAACACAATGAAAAACAAAAAAAGGGGACAAACCCCAGTCAATCTGACTTTTTACACCTCTTTGCCTCCTCAATTTTCACATTTGGTGACTTGCTGGGTCCTGCTGGAAACCGCATTATTTTTTAAAAGATTAAAGGGGGGAAATTAGACATGAGGACTGCGTGATATTAAGGATGGCATTCCCTGCAAAGCAACGCGACAGACTGTCATAGCTCCAGGCACCTAATTTAATTTCCTTTGGGAGCTAAACCTTAGAAGCTGGGATTGAACAAACAGGCCCTGTTCTTTGTATATTTCAGACCTGGAGCTGAGCATGCTAACAGATCCCATCAACAGGGCAGGAGACAGACAGCTCCAGGGTGCTCTCGCGAGGAACAGACTCACTGTTGTGATACAACTGTGGGAAAAGCCCGCGCCGCTCACTTGCTTGCTCACTCGGGAGGCCTAGGGCTCCTGGAACTCACTGGTCCCCACGGAGTTAGCTGCCGGGCTCTGCCACAGATAATGAGTCCGCTTATGGTCACGGCAGGCGTAAAGGCAGCGGCTAAAACAGCAGGCTATGGGTCCTCCCTAGGCACTGCGCAAGGGCCCAATGCCAGTCATTTCACTAGGTCCTCCCCAAGACGCTGCAGGGAGGGAGGCGATCTCTCCCAGTTGCAGGTGAGGTGGAACCAAGAGATGACTCTGGACCAGAGGCACAGCCGTCTGGCTGCATGGTGGGGTGGGGGCGGGAGCCCTTTTCCTGCCTGGGTGGCTACTCTGGTCCCAACTCCAGAAGTCTGTCTCCTCGGACCGACCCCTCTCTCTCCTCTGTGGGGAGGTCAGGGTGCTCATCGCTGCTCAAGCTGTGATCCCAACCCCAAGCAGCCACCTGCTCAGCTCAAGTGGGTCTCTGTGGGGCTCCAGTCCCAAGCTTCCCAGACAGCCAGCCACACGCTGTCTGTTTCCAAACCCAGGCTGGCCATGTGGAAAGGCCAGAGAGCCATGCTCAAATCGAGACGGCTTCTCAGGGCTTGGGGGCGAATTTCCAGGCTGGTATAGATACAGACATAAAACAACTGACCTGGGCTCAGGACAAACAGCGGTAGAAATAATAATGATTATGAGGAAGACAGGAGCACTTGCCAGGAGCCAGGTGTGAAATCTTATTTTGTTATCCCAAGTGAGGTGCGCACACAGCCCTTGGAGGAAGGAGACCCTTTAGTGAGAGACACACACTTCTAACACTGGGAGACACTTGGTAAAGTGTGCAGTTGCTAGGCCACAGCAACATGTGTGCCTGGGTGCACAGTGGTCTGCTCCTGGGTGATGGCCACCCTCCCTCGGCAGGCAGGTCACTTCCCACCCAAAGTGACCTCCGAACACAGCAGAGAACTGCTCCAAAGGGTTTCTGGAGATGGAAGTCTTCTCATCTTTCTCCGAAAGGGTGGCTGGTGGGTTTGAACTGCTGGCCTTGAGCTTAGCAGTCCAGAGCCTTAGCCACTGCACCAGATTATAGTCTCAGAACCATAGGACAGCTCTGTCCTGTCACGGAGGGGTCACTGAGTTGGAAGTGACTGAATGGCCCACAAGAACAAATAACGAGGCTCCGTCCCGACTGGAATCAGACTGGTGGCCCAGGCCACGGCACCCGCACTGGGTGCCCCACCGCAGCCTAACAAGGCTGTGGATCTTTGCTGACTCCAGTGGGCTCATACCACGTGCCAATGCCAGCCTGGTTGAGTGGTGGCGAGGGAGGATTGTCAGCAACCTCCCCGTTGCCCAGGCCCCGACAAGTTCCAGGAGGGAACCTGAAAAGTGATCTTTCATCGGCACCTGTCCTGGGCAGGCCCGGCTGGGTTGCAAAGCAGGAGTCCCGCAGCTGAGATGTGACATCAATTCAAATGCCTGTGGTCAATGTCAGTCCCAGGTCTGCAAACAGCAGCTGACAATGCCGCTCCTTCCCCTTGCAGTGGACAGTCCACACTTTGTCCAGGGCTTCGTTTGCTCTGCGTGTTGATGTGTTCGTGCTTCCCATCGAGGAGCTTAGCTTTGTATCCCTCCCTTTCCTTCTCTCGGGGAAGGAAGTGTGCTGTGGACAATGGGGGTGGGGGGGGCGTGTGGGGGAGCTTGCCAAGGAGCTGCTCTGACACCCAGGTGGCAGGACGCCTGTCTCCATCCCTTCCCCCCAACATGCCAGAGAAAAGCCAGAGGGCAGCCTGTCCAGCCTGCAGACCGCCCAGGCTCGTGGCAGGGGCCTGTGTGGAGGTACCAGCTGTGGCGTGGCGGAGCCTGCCCGGGGAGGCCTCACTCATTTCCTGCTCTTGGTGGGTGGCAGGCAGTTGGCGTTGGTGGCCAGAAGCAGGTTCAGACTCCTGCTCTGGCTGGGCTGCTGGCTGCTGAGGACACAGCGGGGTGCCATTGTCCCTGCACGCCCTTGTGGGTGCAGTCCCAGGACAACCTGGGTGGCACAGGTGGCCAGGTTCACCCGTGGAAGGAGAACGGTCGGGGCACCAAAGGCCTGGGCCAGGAATTCCCAAGTCATCCTCCACGCAGCAGCCAGCTGGGTGGGTGGGGAAGGCGGGCCTTGTCCAGGAGCGAGTGGTGAGTCAGCGGCGGGCTGGGAGGACAGCCCACCAGAGCAGCCGCTAAATTTCCTCTCCCAAGCGGGGGCCTCTCATCAGGGCTGGTAGAGAATGGCTGAGGATGGGGGTGCCACCTGGGTGAGCTATCAGACACCAGGCAGCCGAGAAAGCATCTCGGGCTTAAAAAAAAAAAATCTATTTGGTGATATGAGCTCTGGAGCAGAGCCCTCTCCCCGTTCTGACCAGCCCTGGCTGGGGACGGATAAGTGCCTCAACTTCAGGTCAGGCTCCCGCTCGGGGGACTTACACCCCAGTGTTGACAGACTTGAGGGAGAGGCTTGTGGAAAAGCCACTGGGGTGAGGGAATGTGGGGGAAATGTGTGTGTGGGTGGGGGGAGGCGGTACCAGACAGGACCTTGGCAGGCCTCCCACCCAGGGTCTGAGAGGGTTTACAGGTGGTAAAGCTGAGGGAGTGCAGGTCTCAGCCTCTGGACGGGATCCTGGGAACCAGAGCTGGGTTCCCACTCCCCTGGCTCCTCCGAGGTCAGGGAGCGTCCACTGTGCTCATCCGGTGCAGCAGCTGTCCCTGCTTTCCTGTGTGCTGTGGCCCTGACTGTCCCGGGGCTGTCAGGCAGGAGAGGGTTCAGGCCCGTCTGGGGCCTGGGGCCATCCTAACGGTGCCTCCAAAGAGGCCCAGTGTCCCTAACCGCCTGCCCTTTTCCTCCCAGCATCTCCCCTGTCACTCTTCCCTCCTGTGGGGTGCCAAAGCGGTGCCATTCCCCCAAGAGATAGCAGGGCTGGGCTTGGGCCAGAGGCAGGTGCCAAGGCTGGCAGACAGGCGGGCTCTCCAGGCTGATGCAAGAAAGTCATGGCAGCCCCTCCCCGTTCAGCAGGGACCCACAGGGAGGGTGTGAGCACCCCGGGAACAGGAGTCTCTTCTTGCCCTGTGAAGGCCGGCTTCTCTGCTGAGGGGCCTGAGGGTGCTTCTTGGCCCAGGGCAAAGGGCCTCACTGATGAATCTGGCTCAGAGCTATCCCCAGGCCTCCAGGAGGTCCCGCAGCCTTCTGGGGAGACAGCCAGCCCCACGGGGTGACCTAGAGGCCCGAATGTCATCACAAGCCCAGGTTCCCACAAGCTAGGGAGCTGTCTGTGACTGCAATGGCAGGACCCCTAGGGGAAGGCAGGCCAGCAGGCAGTTGGAGGCAGGCATGCTGACTGCCTCGGAAGGAGGAGGGCCGGTGCTGGGAATCTGGCTGGGGCCCGGCCGGGTCGGAGGGTTTCCCAGGGCTCCTGGAAAGGGCCTGAGAAATCCCTGGGCAAGCAAGCTAGCTAGTGAGGGTGCATGCTTGGGCAGTGGGGCCTCGGCCAGCCTTCCCGGGAGCTCCCCTTCGAGCAGGCCCCCGTGGTGGACCACACTAATGAGCCCATAGCACAGGCCTTTGATTAAGCAGCTCCCAGCACAGCAACTTTATTGAAACATGCCGAGGCCAGCGGCTCTTTCCCACCGCTCCCTGGTTCCCCAGGCAACAGCCCACAGGAGGGGACCATGTGCTGGGGAGCCAGTGGGTGGCCAGTTCTCAAGCCCAATGAGGGGCTGGGGTGGGGGTGGGGTCAGGGGCACCCCCTTCTCCCTTCCGTTGGTTTAGGGTGAACTGAGGGGCAAGGCTAGCATAACTGGAGAGACTGGTCACCCCTTCCTGGGCCAGCCTCCATGTTCCTGGTCCCCCTGCTCCTGGGAGAGGAGGAGGAGACTGCTTCCTGGGGTAAGGAAGTGAAAGCAAACTGCAAGTCATTTCTTCTTGAGTTTGGGAAGACCCTCATCCCTACATTCCCAACCTTCAGGACACGTGGGAGGGGTATTCATAAAGTTCCAAGGAAAATGGA